TTATACATAACAGCCGCCTGTAAATCTAGTCTCTTCAGATGGCCTTCTGTCAGAGACCAACTCTCTACTCCATAGAGCAGGATAGAAAAAATATAGCATCTGACAGGCCGGATTTTCAGTTTTAGGCTTATGTTGTGACTGCAGAAGACCTTAGCTGGACAGAATACAGGTAGTCCTTCACTTACAACCATTCATTTAGTGATCATTTGAAGTTATAATGGCACTGAAAAAAGTAACTTATCACAGTTTCTCACACTTCGTTCTCTGAGTATCCCCATGGTTTCATGATCAAAATTTGGATGCTTGGAAATTGGTTCATATTTATGTCAGTTACAGTGTCCTGGGGTCATGTGATGACCTTTTGCGACCTCTGATAAATTCAATAGGGAATTTCACTTAACTGTGTTACTAACTTAATAACTGCATTGATTCACTTAACTGTGGCAAATAATGTTGTATAATGTGACAAAACTCCCGTAACAACTGTTTTACTTAGCATCAGAAATTTTGGACTTAATTGTAATAATAAATCATGGACTACTTTATTCTTCATGGTGTTTGAAAGCAGGAAATTAAGTTGTAAATGAAGGATTACCTGTAATATGTCAAGAGGCAACTTAATCAGAATTATTTTTTTATTATGGAAACTTTCTGGAATAGTTACTACATTCCAAAGATTGTAGTCACTACTAAACTGAAACTAGAATAGAGTAATATACATACATGTATGTGTATATATGTATGTTATTTCTGGTACTGATTTCTGTAGCTAAGAATCAAAACATGACAATTACTATTTCATATGCTTCCTATTTGCTTCATCCCCTCCCTTCCTCCAGGCTCATTTTGAAATAAAGGTATTTGCATATAAAAATCCTATGAGGCATAAAAATGCCACATAGGCATTTTCTATTGGTGAGGTATGGGGATGATCAAATACCTTGGAGATATTAATTTAGAAACAGAGGTATTACAGCCTATTTTCTCTTATCCTTCTTTGTTTAACCTTAATGTAAAATTCCCAAGTGATTTTGCTCATGGGAGCTATTCCTTGAAGAGTTTCAAGGTTAACATCTAACTTGTAGCATCCAAATCAAAACCAGTGATAACACAAATCCGTCTATCTTAGAGGGGATTATGCTCTGTTGAGCATATTATGCAAATTATGCAACCATTTATATCAGCATTATTTATATTTATATCGGAAAACCCAAAGTGAAGAATCTTGTGATAAACATGCTGAAATTGTTTTGCTTCCTACAAAAAAAGGTTCTAAATGATGCAGAAATTTGTGGAAATATATTAAGACTAGATGTTCCAAGAACATAAACTCATATGACTGGAAGAAATCTTAGAGGTCTTCTGGTCCAAAGTTCTGCCCAGGACAGGAATCCTCAGACCAATCCAAACTAATGACTGTCCAGCCTTTATTTGAAACCTCCAGTAATGGAGTTCCATGTTTCTAGAAAGAGGCTAGCTGTTCCATTGCATAGGAGCTCACAGAGTCAGGATTTCCTCCTTACTTCAGGTTTAGAGCTCTTTCTAAAGCAGTGTTTCTCAACCTTGACAATTTTAAGGCATGTGGACTTCAACTCCCAGAATTCCACAGCCAGCATTGCTGGCTGTGGAATTCTGGGAGTTGAAGTCCACATGCCTTAAAATTGTCAAGGTTGAGAAACACTGTTCTAAAGCTTCTACTATTAGTTCTTCTCCTGCTTTCAGGCACCATGGAGAATAAATCTACAGGTAGTCCCTTGGTTAATGATGACTTTATCAGAGACTGAAGTTACAGGTGGTGAGTGAGTGGTGTTTATGACCAATTCTCAAAAGTTCTCACCATCCCAGAACTTTTGGTGATCATGATTTGGGTGCTTGGTTCACACTAATGACAGTTGCATCATCCTGAGGTCACATGATCATCATTTGCAACTTTTCCTGCTGGCTTCCCATAAGGAAAATTAATGGGGAAGCCGGCAGATAAGGTAACAAGTAGCTCGTTCCCATTCCTGCTGTTTTTACTCATGAGGAGCTAGACTGCCAAGTACAAGATCCTGAAGAATCATTTCCTGTTCAGCACCAAATGTCAGCTGCTTCTTGTCTTCTTGCTATCTACACTTTTTTCTTACTGCAGCTGTTGGAAAATTAGAAGCAGGTTTGGTCCCTAGTTTTCTAAACCTCTTAAGTAATTTGCTCATAGTCTAGCCAGACATACATTAGGAAGTTTTAATAATCTTTTTTTTTCAAACAATTTTATTGATTTTTCCATTTTTGCACCAGAATGCTTAAGAAACAACGTGGAGATAGGGTAATCAGTTAAGTACAATAACATCATACATATATGGCTCAAGTAATGCTCCTTAAAATTTCCCTCTCTAACAATTAGAATAATATAGTCAAGCTAATACATTTCTAAGTAAAATTAATTCATTAATACATTCCTAAATAAGAATTAGATTAATCAATAGAAGTTATCAGCAACCTTTCAGCAATGTAAATCAAACCCTGTTTTAGGTTTATTAATTTCCAAATATATCTAACTTAGCCTTAAGCAAAGATATTATTTACAATTTGGGTGTCCATAATTTCTCTTATTTAAGCATATTATTTCCATAATTACATACTTACATTTCTCAACTATATTCTATTTCTTATTCAGTAATTCTTCATTTATTAATTTCATCTCCTCCATCATTACAATCTTTTTATCATTATAGCTCCACAAATTAGCTATCATGTCTAATAATAAAAAAGCATAGAAAAAATAGAAAAAACAATAAAAAGAAACAAAAACAAACCAAGAAAAAGAAAGAGAAAAGAAGGAAGATCTATTATTCCAAAGAATATATTCTTACTATATTTCAATATTAAATTCTAAATCTTATCTTAAAAACACCTTTTAAGAATCCAAATCGAAATCAATCCGCATCTCTGTAAAGCCATTGCAACCCATAAGTGTAATCTTAAATTCGATATTTATATCTTATTCTAGCTTTCTTTCTGTTCCAAACGGGTTTCCATAGTAAGGTCTCTATGTCCGCAAATAAAACTCCCTCCATTTCTTGCCGTAACGCGTAAGTCAGGAAAAAATCTCCCATTGTCCATTTTAATAGGCTAATGAAAAAGTTGTAGCGATTCTCAATAGTTCATAGTTGGACATCAATCTTCATCTTTTCTGAAGTTGCATCTAGTTTAATTACAGTCACTTTTGAATCATCCTAAGTCTCAATAGATTGTCTATAAAATAATGTAGAGTCCTTTTTAATGTTATTTTGTTCTCCTCCTATTGGTTTTTTATCTGTCAGGTAATCAGTTGGAGTCTGGACATCAGCCTGCCCTTCTGGGGTGACATCCTTAGTTTCCGTGCTCATTTGTTCATTAGCATCAAATGTGGATAAAGTTGAGAACGGGTCTCTTGAGTATATAACCCTTCTGCTGTTTCTTAGCCTGCAAAGTGCTCACTTACACTTTGTGCTTTAATTTGTTGTTGACAGATAATCTCTTTTGTACAGGCAATTACTAGTTCAGTATTTTCAAGAATTTTGTCCAATATATACTTGTAATTGAGATCTGAACAGAATTCCTCCATTTCAGTGTTATATAAAGCCATTATTCTTTTGATGGAGGCTATATTTAATAACAATCAGTCAATATCACCTTCCACCCAGCTGTACAGCTTCTTTATCTTTCCCTTTTAAGATAATTTGAAGGTCAAAGACAGGCTCAGAGTCCAAAGAGAGGAAATAACAATTGCAGTAAATAATTTCACCACAAGATGTCCCCAGAGGGTTAACTATTCAGTCTTTCCAAACCCCCAATAAAAATAATTTCTTTCCTATTTTCCTTTTTTCCTTCTTTTCTTTAGTTATAAAAACAGTAGAAAATAGGAAAAAAAAACCAAAATTCTCCAAATTGCTAGCATATTAAATTTCTATAACAGAGATTTTAGGGATTTTAGGATCCCCAAATATTCAAAAATAAAGTCAATCATTGAAAAAGTTGAAATTAATTTTTTTTTGTTCCAAGGCTTTTCTTCCCCCATCAACAACGCCGCTTTAAAAAGATAGGGAAATAATTCCAAAGGCTTTTCATAGGAATAAATAGGAAAGGAGAGGCAAGGAAAGGTCCCACTGAATCTTCCATAGTGGTTCTATTTCGCTTAGATGTTCTGGTGCAGCTAAGTGATCGTCCATTTTACTGACCGATCTTTACTCTGTCGGCCCAAAGAAGGTCGCTTGGACTGCAGAGGGTGCCGCCACCCCTCTGCAGTCAGACAGGCATTCTCCTCAACAGTGGTCGCCCCTCCAGGGTGACCTTCGACCCAATCAAGGGTCTACCGACGGGAGAAACTTGACCGGCGAAGAGAGAAGTCTGCTAGAACAACTGCAGCGCTGCGATCTGGAACCGGAAGCCTCAGGAAGTTTTAATAATCTTTTTGATGAACACATTTATTTAGTTCTCTTTTTGAAGGCTTCCTACAAAAATGTTTTGTTCTGGGATATGATATTGAATTAAAGACTTGCAAATCCACAAATTATGCAGAGAAAGAATACAGTTAATGCCTCTTCAGTATTAAGGAAGAGACTATATAGCAAGTTTCATGAGATCGTTTAATTAAATACAGTATATATTTCCTGACATGCAATACACAGTATTAAGAGTACGCTTGAATTCAATAAAATACAAAATTATAACAGTGGTAGTGATGAATTTGCTAGCAATATTTGGGCTGTCAAATGGTAAAGAAGAATAGGAATATTTTTAGTAGATGCCTGAACTAGAGCAAGCTCACTGTGCTTATTTGGAGAGAGAAGGCATTCCAATAAATGGGTGCCACAACTAAAAAAATGCTTTTCATGGATGATCTTCCTGAGATAATTAGCCAAAAATGCACTGTCACATTCTCTGTGAGACTTGCACTCATTTCTCACTCTACATTACGCTAACTCTTGCTTTTATGTTGGAGGAGGATGAAAATAATGTTTTGTTCTTTCTTTTTACAGACATTGAAACATGCCATTAATCAAAAGGAATATTGAACCTCGGCACCTCTGCCAAGGAGCATTACCTGAAGGAATTACTAGTGAATTGGAATGTGTAACCAATAGTACTCTCGCTGCCATCATACGTCAGCTAAGCAGCTTAAGTAAGTTCCCTGAGTTGTTTTTTAATGCCATTCTTTATTTTCTTTCTTCCTATTTTTATATGGCAAATTGAGGAACATGAGGCATCTTTCAAGTTTATCTTAAGTTTTGGGAGAGAAACACAAGTGCTGTGAAAGGGACACAATGAAGTGGGATGGATTCTAATCTTCCTAAACTTCATATGTTGGGGTACCTTACCCTATAATTCCATATTTTAAATGCCTAGTTTTTATAGATGAAGTTAAGAACAGCAGAAAAAATATAAGGATGTTTGGTTGGGTATATCTATTTTTGCTTCATAGCTGTTGCTTCTTCATATCATTCTGGGGACTTGTAGCTGTCCTGGCCATTCAGAGAGGTTATAAATTGCAATGTTATTTTTAAGCAGTAGTCATCAGTCAAGTTGAAAGATACTGGATGATTATAGATAGAATTGCTTACAAAAAGCCCTCAGGATTACAGTAAAAACAGTAACTTGAAGAATTTTTATAATATTCTTTAAAAAATGTCACAAGATCTGGTAAATTAGCATTATAAAATATTTGTAAATAAATAATTAATAAAAATATTTATTTCTAAACTGGGGAACATGATCCTATTTTTTCTCTCTAGGCAAACATGCTGAAGACATATTTGGTGAGTTGTTTAATGAAGCCAACAACTTTTACATCAGGGCAAATTCTCTTCAAGACAGAATTGACTGTCTGTCTGTCAAGGTTACTCAACTGGATTCAGCTGTGGAAGAAGGTAGGCAGTTTCATGCAAGTATTATGCCAAAAGTGCTATTGACAAAAAGACGTAGTTAACTGTTCAGCAGTTATTACTTTTTATGGTGTAACTGATTGCTTAAAATAGTATCTGCTTCAGAAAAACACCCATGTTTGTATGTGGTTTAGGAATAGCAAATTAATAAATTTTTAATAAAATCTCTTAATATTTTTTGACAAATAAATTCTCTCCCTGCCTTTTTTTGCAATGTGCTTGTTATATTGCTTGAGAAGGATCTTTCCAAGTTGGCTTACCAGCCCTCATCTAAAAATATTCTAGAATACATCTTAATGTTCTTTTAACAAGATTTTAGCATTTAAGCCATTTTGTACAATCCATATTCAGTATTTTGCTAGAATGTTTTTACTTTAATGGGAAGAACACTATTCATTGAATGTTAATGAAGTATTGCTATTAAAAAAGTAATGATAACATTAAAGAAATAAGCTCTCCTATTATGACAATTATGACTGTTCCTATGAAATGCATTATATACCTATCAAAATCAATGAGACTAACAAAATTATTATATTGTCTTTTTTTGTTTTTACAAGAATTGTCAAAGAGAAAGGAAAAGAAATAATACTGATAGGAATATATATATATGAAAGAATATGGAATGTAAACAATAAAAGCAATACATAAAAGCTGATAAGACACAGATCTGAATAATTCCCTATTTTAATTAGAACAGATTGTTTTTGTTCACCATTTTGACTCATGTGCAGCACACAATTCATGTTGTACATACAAAATGAGATGCATCAGTTGTGGTCATTCATTTTAATTGCTTTTCTTCAGTCATTTCACTTGCATATTGTAAATAGCTACTCTCAGACTCTGTGTGGCTATCTCTCCTTTCTTTTTGCTAACAGTTTCATTGCAAGATATTAATATGAAGAAAGCATTCAAAAGTTGTACAATACAGGATCAACAGGTTGTTTCAAAGAACAGCATTCCCAATCCTGTTGCTGATATTTATAATCAGAGTGACAAACCACCTCCACTGAATATCCTCACATCATACAGGTATTGTAATTTGAAATGGATAAATCTGATATAGCTGGATATGAAGTTTTTCTTCCTATTCTCATGTATTGTATTTTTGCAAGAGAAAAAAAAATGCTCTACATGTATCCAGTTAACAAATGCATGTAGGAAGCATACTACAGTAGTAATGGGAGACTTCAACTATCCAAATATCAACTGGGAGACAAACTCTGCAGTGAGCAGGAGATCAAACAGATTCCTAACCAAGCTAGCCGACAACTTTGTCACCCAAAAGGTGGAGGAGGGAACTAGACATAAAGCTGTATTGGACTTAATCCTTACAAATAGAAAATAAGTGGGACCCGATAGGTTACATCCCAGAGTTCTGAAAGAGCTGGCAGAGGTTATCTTAGAACCGTTGCACCACATCTTTCATAAATCCTGGAGCACCGGGGAAGTACCTGAAGATTGGAAAAGGGCTGATGTGGTCCCCATTTTCAAGAAAGGAAAAAAACGGATCCAGGAAACTACAAACCAATCAGTTTAACATCAATACCTGGGAAGATCCTATAAAAGATAATCAAAAAACAGATCTGTGAATAATTAGAAGCAAACAAGGTCATAACTAGTAGCCAGTACACATTTGTTAAAAACAGATCATACCAAACCAATCTTATCTCATTCTTCGATAAAGTGATTAAACTATAGACCAGCGAAACACAGTGGATGTAGTATACTTAGATTTCAATAAGGCATTTGAAAAAGTAGACCACAACCTACTCCTTGGTAAGCTAGAAAAAGGTGGCATAGACAACATCACCATCAGATGGATCTGTAGCTGGCTGATGGATCTGTAATGGCACTACATCTACATGGAGAGAAGTAAGCAGTGGGGTACCGCAGGTTCTGTCTTAGGCCCAATACTCTTCAATATCTTCATAAATGACTTAGATGAGAGAATTGAAGGGGAACTCATCAAATTTGCAGATCACACCAAACTGACAGGAGTAGCCAACATCCCAGAAAACAAACTCAGGATCCAAAAAGATCTTGACAAACTTGAACAATGGGCCCTATCCAACAAAATGAGTTTCAATGTGGAGAAAAGCAAAGTTTTACATTTAGGCAGGAAAAACCAAAGGTACAAATACAGGTTGAGCAAGACCTGGCTTAAAAACATAACTGTGAGAGGGACCTTGAAGTCCTACTGGACGATCACTTGACTATGAGCCAGCAGTGTGCAGCAGCAACCAAAAAAGCTAACACAATCCTGGGTTGTATAAACAAGCATAGAATCAAGATCACATGTAGTATTATTACCGCTTTATAAAAACCCTAGTAAGACCACACCTGGAATACTACAGCCAATTTTGGTCACCAAAAAAGATGTTGAGAGTTTGGAAAAAATTCAGAGAAGAGCAACTAAGATGATCAAAGGCCTGGAGACTAAAACATATGAAGAAGAGCTGAAGGATTTGGGTTTGGCTAGTCTAAAGAAAAGAAGAAATAGGGGAGACATGATAGCAGTATTCCAGTATCAGAGGGTCTCCCACAAGGCAGAGGGGGCCAGGTTGTTCATCAAAGCATCAGAGGGAAGGATGAGAAACTTCCTAATAGTGAGGACAATCAACCAGTGGAACAGCTTACCCCCAGAAATCGTGGGCGCTCCATCACTGGAGATTTTTAAGAGACTAGACATTCACCTGTCTGAGAGGTATAGGTTCTCCTGCTTGAGCAGGAACCTGAACTAGAAGACCTCCAAGGTCCCTTCTAGATTCTATCCTATCCTATCCTATCCTATCCTATCCTATCCTATCCGCATTATACAGACAAATCTTATTGCATTCTTTGACCAGGTGATACAATTAGTGGACCAGAGGAATGCTGTGGATATAATTTACTTGGTTTTCAGTAACGCATTTGAAAAAATAGATCACAACCTACTGCTTAATAAGATAGAAAATGTGGGTTAGAGCAGCAGTTAGAGTGCAGTACTGCAGGCCACTTTAGCTGACTGTGTTCAGCAGGTCAGCGGTTCAAATCTCACTGGCTCAAGGTTGACTCAGCCTTCCATCCTTCCGAGGTAGGTAAAATGAGGACCCAGATTGTTGGGGGCAATGTAAATATATATATATATATATATATACATGCTTACTGGTGTACACCGCTTAGAGAGTGCTTGCACTTAAAGCGGTATATAAGTCTCATAAATAAATAAATAATAAATAAATCAACACCAGATGGATTCGTAACTAGCTGACTGGCCGTAATCACTGCATCTACATGGATGGAAGTGTGTAGTAGAGTGCCCCAGGGCTCTGTTTTGGGCCCAGTGCTCTTTAACATCTTCATCAATGATTTGGATGAGGGGATAGATGGGGAACTCATCAAGTTTGCAGACGAAACCAAGCTGGCAGGAATAGCCAGTTTAATATACAGAGGGATCTTGACAGACGTGAACATTTGGCACTATCTAACAAAATGAAATTCAGTGGTGAAAAAAGTAAGGTTCTACATTTAGGCAAGAAAAACCAAATGCACTTGTACAGTATAGGTGGTACCTTGCTCAATAGTAGTAACTGAGAGGAATCTCGGAGTCCTGGTGGACAATTACTTAAATATGATCCAGCAGTGTGCTGCAGCTGCCAAAAAAGCCAACACAGTGCTAGGCTGCATTAACAGAGGGATAGAATCAAGATCACGTAAAGTGTTAATATCACTTTACAATGCCTTGGTAAGGTCACACTTGGAACACTGCATCCAGTTTTGGTCACGATGTAAAAAAGATGTTGAGATTCTAGAAAGAGTACAGAGAAGAGCAACAAAGATGATTAGAGGACTGGAGGCTAAAACATATAAAGAATGGTTGCTGGAATTGGGTATGTCTAATTTAGTGAAGAGAAGGACTAGGAGTGACAAGATAGCAGTGTTTCAATATCTCGGGTTGCCACGAAGAGGGAATCAAGCTATTCTCCAAAGCGCCTGAAGGCAGGACAAGAAGCAATGGATGGAAACTAATCAAAGAGAGAAGCAACCTAGAACTAAGGAAAAATTTCCTGACAGTTAGAACAATTAATCAGTGGAACAACCTGCCTCCAGAAGTTGTGAATGCTCCAACACTGGAAGTTTTTAAGAAGAGACTGGACAACCATTTGTCTGAAACGGTATAGGGTTTCCTACCTGAGCAGGGGGTTGGATTAGATGACCTCCAGGGTCCCTTCCAACTTTATTATTATTATTATTGTTATTATTATTATTATTATTATTATTATTATTATTATTATATCCGTGTGGGGTATTTTTGGCAAAATATAGGATGGATTACCATTGCTTTCTGCAGTATGAAGATATGCCTTTCCCATTGTCACTGAAGTGATTATCATCTACCTACATCATCTTCTACATAACTGCTACCCAATATAGGTGTCTATTTGCTTTAGCTGGGCAACTTAGATGACTTTGGGCGTTTCTGCTGAGGTTAGATACTTTTCACATATATTCCTAGCATTTTTCACTCAGTCCTCCCAGTAAGGCCCATCCATACTACAATCTGATGGAGGCATAAATGGGGATCTTCCATAATTTTATCCCCATAGTAACAACTCTGGGAAATAGGTTGGGCCCAAAGGTCTCCTGTGAGCTCATTAGGCAAATATGAAGTATGCCCAGTAACTTCTAGGCTATGCCTGGCAGAGCTCTCCAAGGTATTCAAGAATCTTTTCCATTGGAAATTAACTTAATGGAGGTAATAGTGACCTGTTCCACTTTCAGCACATTTATGTGCTGCTTTATGTGAAATCTGCATTAGCATACTGAGTTGAGTCTGAGGAATAGCCATTTAAAATAGTGTTTTGTTCCATTTTTTTTACAGAGATGATAAAAAAGATGGCTTAAAATTTTATACTGATCCTTCTTATTTCTTTGACCTCTGGAAAGAAAAAATGTTACAAGATACAGAGCATAAGAGAAAAGAGAAGAGACGACAGAAGGTAAATCGAAACAGTTTTTTTTAAAAAAATTAAATATAATTTATCAATCATATTTTAGAATAAATAGCTTATACTGTATTTTAACAACATAGGAATGGTTGTAAAAGACAAAGCTGTTCTGTATTTCATACTAGTCCTTTACCTTTCGTTTTAAATGTGTGCTTTCTTATTTGCATTTTGAAAAGAAAAATATTCTGGAGATTTGTTAATGGAGCATTTAGAGAAACTCCCAGTTAGTTTTACAATATACCGGTAATTACATTTTGGAAGATATTTTGGATTATTACAAAAATTTCATAAAATCCTTCAGAGTTTCTGTCTAATGCAAATTGAAGAACTTTTCCATTATTTTAAGCTTCAACTTTGAAGGATTAGCATAGTTCTGTTATAGCTGTGCTGCATAAATAATAGATTAGATTGAGGAATGAAGTTTGCTTCTTTGAAATGTGAATGCATATAAATGAGATCATGAAGGAATGTTGCCTGAATTCTCCATTTTCAGATCATAGAGTTGTAATAAAAATCAGGAAATTGATAGCATACTTTTTGAAATAAGTGTGTATATGTGCTATGTGAGCAATCCGTGGAGCTCTGAAACTAATTAAGTGACTGAAACTCTCAGGTAATGCATGAAAGGCAACAGAATTAAAAGAGTAATTCTTGTTTTGTTTTGTTTTTCTTAACTGTGCCACAAAAGACAAGTTAGTGGATCTAGAGGCTCTGTGGAAACAGGAATATCACATTGCAGTGATTGGGTGACCTGCTCTATTGTTTTTCTTCTACGAGGAACTTACATGTTGTCAGTGTGGTGACACAAAGAACAAGCACATAGTAAAGGAGATGTAATAACTGTGGGAAACAGGGATTTGATAGGACTTTATGGAGAAATGTGGGTTGAAAAACAAATCTAACAGATGGTGCTATCAGTGTTTTTTACGGTATTCATTTTGTGAACTGTGAACTGCTTCGCTGAGAATTTTTCCCTCTTAGCTATATTTACGGAAAGTCCTTGATTTGCAACTGGTCACTTAATACCCATTGAAAATTACAACGGGCCCAAAATGGGTGCCCATAAGGCACTTTTGACCATCATGAAATATGTCACACCCATCCCTGTGGTCATGTGACAGCATTTTAAGTACTTGGCAACTGACTCACCTATATGACTAGTTGTAGAATTCTGTGGTCACATGAATGCAATTTACAATGTTTGTTGCCAGTTTCCAGCAAAAAAATGCCTATTTGCAAAAATAGTTTTGCATTTACATCTGTGAATTTGCTAAACTGTCGTCATCCCTCAGGCAGCACCTGATAAATTCACCTGGTTCAGTGTCTGTCTATCTACTATGATAGTAATAAGCACGGAGTAAGCACTTATTCAAAATGATCAGCACTCTGTAAATCTGAAAGGGTAGTTCTCATCTAGTGACCATTCACAGTTACCACAGTGATGAAAAAGTAACTTTACAACTAGTCCCCACATTTACGACTTTTGCAGGTCTGTAAAGTAAAATGAAAGCTGCAGTAAAATTGTAAGCACAGTCTTGGTATCACTTAGTGACTATTTCACTTAACAATTAAGTTGCCAGTTCTAAACAAGGTTTCTGAACATGGAGAGCCTATGCTGTAAGAAGCTATTCGAAAGTTATATGCATACAAACCTTGGAAACACTGATTTGATTTGGCTTTAAAAAAAACTGTCCAAATTCCTCAACTATTGAACAAGTATCTAATCAGTTAACATGAGAAATGCTTGAGAGAAACAAAACCAAACTGCCTGGCTGAGTCTTAGGAAATATGGAAATCAGCTTGTTTCAGAATAAATACATGCTTCATTTGAGGAACAAAATTAAAAGTTGAATAGGCTTAATTTGCAGCTGGAAGACGATTCAACAAAAGGCTATTTGTAGGTACATTTGTACTGACTCACAGCATGTAATGAGAAAATATTTTCAAGATACTTAATGTGATGTATTGAAAAACTATTGATTTGTTAGTCCAATTGCTTTGACTAGATCATGTAGAGGAAGCAAACTATAACATTAGAATCCTTTCATTGGAAGAAAAAAAGTGAATATGTGGCCATGAAATGTCCATATCCTATAAATGTTGAAACATAGCTGATTGTTTGTTTATATAAATAACCAATGGAATCTAATATATGCTTTGATTATGCTTGGCTCACCTGCACATCATATTTTCATATTTTTAACAGCATTAAACTTGCTCTTTCCTTGTTTCTCTCTTTTGCATGTTTTATCGCTTTTTATATTATATCAGGATCAAAAACGTATAGATGGCACAACTCGTGAGGTGAAAAAGATTAGAAAAGCAAGGAACAGGCGCCAAGAGTGGAATATGATGGCCTATGACAAAGAACTTAGACCAGATAACCGGTTATCTCAGAACGTTTACCCTGGAGCATCTTCTGAAGGGTCTCTGTCCCCTGAAACTAGGTCTGTTGATAATAAGATTTATATATTCAGTGGTGCTTAGTATCCTTCATCTGTACGGATTTATAACTTCCACTTGTATAAGAGAGATTTATCTTTCTTTTTTAGATTGGATGATTTTGGGAATTTGGTGTCTGCATTTTCCTGAATTAGATTAACCATGAAGACTTATTTTTAAAAGATTTTTGTTTTTGCAGCAGCCTGTTGCAGCAAAAAATAACATAGAAACCTGGGACAGGAAATGGCCCCTTTTTGTGTCAGGCACTATGTGCTTAAAGCAAAGGTGTTAAAAAAACTCATGAGATATCTATATTGTTGCCCTTGAGTTTAGCCAGAGGCTTCTATGTTCAAGTACAGTGTTTAAATTAGATTGGTCAGGCATTAGTTCATTTTTGTTCTTCTACTGGGTTTGAAGAAAGGAACAAATAGTGCAGCCCAAGAACCTCACTGTTCCATTAACATCTGTTGTGGCTTGCTTATGTCATGTTGTATTCATTTTAAAGCTTGGGCATACAAAAGCAGAGGATTTTGTAACTAACTATTGCATAATCAAGTTTTAAAACAAATGTTTTTTTATTTCTAGAATTTCTAGCCAATACGTTGTTTTGTCTGCATTAAGAAGAGATTTTTCAGTTTATAATATTTTGTGTGGTATTCTAATAACAAGTTCTGATCTCTTCATCTGAAAGAGCCACCTTTTTCTACCCTTCTTTTATAATCCTACTGATTCTGTTATCTTAGTTAATTCACATTTTTCAAGCCTTTTGGTCTACTGTCTTTTTCTGCCTGTCTTTATTTATTTGTCGCTTAGCAAAATAAAAACTTTGCTTTGTTTTGTTGTAAATAGATTGTAATAAGCAACAGTTCCATTAAAATAAGCACACCTAGGTTAAAAACTGGTTTTTGTATCTTGCATGGAAAACATATGTAACATTGTTCTATGTAACATGTGCCTGTCTAATGCAACTCTTGGCACATGAAATTTTCATGTTTCCATCCTGTACATAATCCTTTTTGTTATATTTGATTTATATTGTGCCCATTATGATTCAGAGAATTCACAAGCTGAATTCAAGCCGGCATCAGCAAGTTAATATGAGAAAAGTAAGGTCCAGAAGAGAAGAGTGGGAGAGAAAGAAAATGGGCACTGAGTTCATAAGTGACATAAAGAAACAAGAACAGTCAGGAGGCACAAAAGAGTCCCAGATGCCCAAAGGGTTTGTCTTTCTTTTTATTGAAAGCTCTAGTGCTTTGTTAACTTCCTGGCTTTCCATCTGAATAAGATGATAAGCATCTGTTTCACTTATTTTTAACCATGTGACAATATGGCGTAATTTGTTTTACTAATTTAGCTTCTCTACAGCATAGGGATGCAAGGACAATGTTGCTTGGTTTTAACTGCTAAGTACTAAAAGGTTGGCTATTTTCTAAGCTTTGTGACCAGCTAACAGTTTCCCCCCCCCCCCCTCTCTGTCTCTGTCTCTGTCTCTGTCAGAGACAGAGATAAAGTTATCTCTGTCATCAGATAAAGTTAATTTTATGCAAAAAAAAAAAAATCCCAGGAAAAAGTTCCATATTAAAAAAAAAGTTAAAATTTTGCAATGGGTTTGACTTTGATAAAATGCAATAATCTGCCTTTATCTGTAATTTTACTTTCATCTTCTGATTTTTCTTGCTAATGGTCCTTGTCTGCCTTGATATGTTTTGGAATATATATCCTATAATTTGAAAATTAGAGAAAAGTTGTTTTTGTGAATGTGGCTTCTTACATTTAATGTTGCATTAACATTTAATGTTGCATTAATAACTCATCTACTAACAAACTGTAAAATGTTAAATAAATGATCATTTAAATTGAGTGAGCCTACTATATTTTGTTCATGGTTCCCCTTATTCTTGTTTTTAATTTCAGATCCCATGCTTCAGATGTAACCAGTTATTCATATCCTGCTACTCCAAATCATTCATTCCATCATCAGTTTTGCCATGTGCCTTCATGTGGAACAGGAGATGGATCTCAGTTTATGCTTGCAAAGCAGGGCCTTGAACATGAATATAGGTTATCTTCCACAACAGTGCAACATGCTACTTTGAATAGGCCTCAAGAACCACCCCCACCCCCACCGCAAATCTTAGATGGTGCTCTGGGCACTGTTGCATTGATACCAGCAGACTATGGGTAAATAGATAGTTTTGTCCTTATGTTAAACCAGAGCTCCCCAACATTTCCAGTTTTGCTGATTGGTGGAAGGAGGGGGGAGAGGGGATGGTTCCACGAGCAGTGGCCAAGTGAATGTGTGCAGCTCCATTTGCATGAGCTTGGCAAGTGGGGATGTGTGTGCGTGCACTCACCCCCTGCTTCATAAGTAAACATATGATGCAACTAGATGATTGACTAGAAAATTTTCTCTGTCAGTTTGGAAATAATAGAACAGGAAGACAATGAATCAGATGGTTAAATGGGATCAAATATATTACTGCAATAGTTTTGGAATTGCTGTGTTTAATACCTGGTTGAGATGGCAAGCATCTGTTGAATCATAAGTGGCTGTATCTGACTTGATGGAGCCTAACTGTTTAAAACATTTTTCTCCTGCTCTTCAAGAGTGCCATAGTAATAGCTTCTGGATCATGAAGAACAAACAAGATAGGGACAAGTTTTGATCATGGTGAATGTTCAAAGTATCAGTGGTGTGTGGATTGTATGCTGAGCTGCATGTTGTTAACCATACTCAGAGGTTTATGTTCTTAAATAAAATAGCTAAGCAAAAAAAGTTACTACTTCCCAGGGATACTTTGGAGCTGTTGAGATAAAATTTAATATGGGGAAAATTATGTTGAGACTGGAAAATAGTGTGTAATTTGTTCTAAATCATTTGTGCTTTAGAAATTATAGAGAATATTTATAGGTTTAGGCAGAGATTTGTCCTCAAAGCTTGCTGCTTGGCTCCCGGACATTTCATTACCAAACTTGGTAACATCTTCAGCAGGATTTGGGGGAAATTTAGTTTATAGTTTATAGTTTAGTAATAAAACATCTGGTAGCCAAGCAATAAGCTCGGAGGACAAACCTCTACCTAAATCATGTATGCCTTCCTGATTAAATAAGAGCCAACTTGGAAAATATTGGTGCTGTAAATAAATGTTCTAGTATATACTGGAAAAAAATGTAAGTGAAGTGAATTTTTTTAAAGTTCAAATCAAATAGAACATTAATAGATTCTTACTTTGCAGACCTCCTTGATACTTCAACTAACAAGTATTTTGTTCTGTTTTATATATAGGATGATTGCAGCTCAGATGGTGGATTATTATAATTCTTCTGGAGAACCACCGTCTGCATCACCGCTTATGATTCCTTCTGCACAGACTGCTTTTGTTAGTCCTCTCCAAATCCCTGTGCTACCTACCCGTTCTGGACTAGTGGCTGGTACTCTGTATTCTGCTACTCTTCATCTTCCTTCTACAGGGCATATTGTTACAGCTCCTTCTCCTCCTGGCCCACCTCCTCTTCCTCCAGGCCCCCCTGCTGCAGGATCTTCTCTTTCATCCTCTCCATTGCATACTCCTGCAGTAGCTGAAGTTAAAAGGCAGGAGTCTATCCAGTCACCCATCAGTGGTGCTCGAAGTGATCTTCTTTCTGCTATTCGGATGGGTAAGACTTCCAAAATCTGACCTGGGCTTTTAAATATGACGGGCTTTGGGTCTTCATAATTGCATAATGTAACTAGAGATCTCTGTTCCACATGGTGTTCTAGGCTGAAAGCTGTATCTCAGCTTTCTTGTTTTTTGTTGCATTTATAGTTTTCTTTTGATGAACAATCATCAGCCACAGAAGTACAGTGTAGTTGTTCTTGAACTGCTTTTAAATGCTTGCCCAATCTTTCTCAACATGTATGTTCTGGATGTAATTTGTCCATCGTGGACCATACCATTTGGACAGCCTGATTGTAAATGATGAATGTGGTGGGTCAACATACTATGTAGGAACTTAGGATGGTCATTTGTCCGAGGCAGAAGGGAAACTTGCTTCTTCCTCCCCTGCAGCTCTTTCCTAGCTGCAACTCTTTTGTTATACCCTCCAGCCACAGGTCTCTATCTTGGTTCTTAGAGGAATCTTTTTCCTTCTGGAGAGTCAGTCTTTCTGTTTTGCTGCCATCTTGCAAAAATGCAGTGATGTTAACTTGCTTCTTAGCAAGGAAAGAGGGAGACATGATGGTTTCTTTTCTCTCCCAGTGGGGAGAAAAAGTGGTCCCTGCAGTATACATAAATAGAGTCCCTGAGATTTAGGAGAGCCCAGGGAGAAAGGGAAGCACAAAATACATGGTGGGTATAAGTGAAGGAAGTTGTAGGTGCATGCACATCCATGGATACTATAAGTAGCCAATTGCTTTGGATAGACCAACTTATGAGCTTGTAATTATGCATTATATCTGAAAGTATCAAAAAGGATATGAACAATAGAGCTTTTATGTAAATAGGTATTAGGAACTATTTTAAATCCCAAGTTATTATTATTGTTAACTTGAATAGATAATTATCCTATCTACATAGAATAATATTCAAATGAATGTTGAGCTGTTTATACCACATATGTTTATAGGAAAAATACTCTCTAAAAATATAGATGTTGAAGATTTTATTATACTAAATAAGTCATTGGCTATAAATAAGCAAGACATCAATAGGAACATTTGGCTTTTTTATAATTTTCATGCTTGGTAAGCATAAATGATTACTAATTATGTTAATTCTGGTACATTTTCATGAATGCTTGAGTCCTGTGTATTTGTAAGGTTTTTTAAGGGGAAAATGAGCACAAAAAGTTGTGTTTCTTTGCTTGTCTCAGGAATCCAGCTGAAAAAAGTACAAGAGCAACGTGAACAGGAGGCCAAGCGTGAGCCAGTTGGAAATGATGTGGCCACAATTCTTTCTCGACGGATTGCAGTGGAATACAGCGATTCGGATGATGAATCAGAATGTGATGAAAATGACTGGTCAGATTGAAAATGAAGATCCAGTACCAAAGCATTCAATGTGAACTGACCTAGGAAATTATTTATAGATTACCCTGGCAGTACTGGTATATACCAGTAGTAGAACAAGTAGGCTTACTTGGTGATGTTCAGATTGATATAATCCAGTTACTTTAGATCAGTGTTTCTCAGCTTGGAGAATTTAAGATGTCTGGATTTCAATGCCCAGAATTCCCCAGACAGTGTGCTAGCTGGGATATTCTGAGAATTGAAGTCCTGACATCTTAAAGTTGCCAAGGTTAAGAAATACTGCTTTAGTGTTTCTGCAGATGAAAAAAATGAACTCTTTATTTTCAGTTTTTGCTGCATCATTTGCAGCAAAGCAAGGTTCTTTTGTATGTATAATTATTTTACTATTTCAATATTACAAGCAATTACTTTATCATGGCAAAGCAATATTTTTAACAATGAAATGTCATTGATTCTTCCACTTTGACTCATTGTCATTAACATGCAAAAATTGCTAGCAGCTAGTTATTTCTTCTTTATAAAAAAAAAACCTCAACAACTCTGTAACTGCAAGAATCTCATGAATGAGTTTCTGTTCACCATAATTATATTTCCAACTACTCTGGATCTGGATCTATTCAAATAGCATATATGGAGAAAAAGGTTGAGATCAGCATAAAAACTACGGCTGTGTAAAAACCATCTGGAAGAGTGATATAGAATGAATCTGAATGATTTTGCACAATCCTGTGGAATACCAAATGCCTTCCCTCCTTGCTAATTTGGTTCAGCTTTCATAATCTGTTTTTTAAATTCATCCAGTTTACATTGAGCACATTGACCTTATGGTTCAGTGAATAATATAATTGAATTTATAGATATATTTATGAATAGTTGGGCTCCAAAGATAAGATCGATTAACCACCCAGGCTCCTCTTACACCATTATTATGGGTTAATGGCCTCATTTATTATTGGTTTCCTCATAGAAATAAATCCTTAATTATTGAAATGTGTGTTCCAGATTGAGTAATATAATTTTCTTACTTCTCATGCGTTATTTAAAGAGCTGCTTATATTACATATAAGAAGACTCATAATGCCTTTGGCCAGCTTATAAAAATGAACTGGAGTCAGCATTTAAAAAATGGCAGTTTCTATTTACATTTTATGTCTACCTTAATTTACTTTATACTTTTCAATTACTTTGGAATTACTCAGGGTTGAAAACAGAATGGGATGCCTCTATTCAAGGTACTGTTTTTGTATTATTATTTTTATTTAGATTTTTTAATCCCACCTTTATTATTTTCATAAGGAGGTGAACGTTCCTAATACCCCCTACTCTTCCTATTTTCCCCCAGCAACAACCTCTGAGGTAAATTGGGCTGAGAGAGAGTGACTGACCCAAAGTCATCCAGCTGGCTTTTGTGACTATGGCAGGACTAGAATTCACAGTTTTATTGTTGCTTTCAAATATCTGATTCTATGAAACAGTGTTATCGTGTTTTGAGGGAATAAAGTTAGCACTGGCCAGAAAATGCCCTTTTCTATTTTTCCTATTGTTTTATTATAGCTGGCAGAACAAAGGAGCATCCGCTCCTCAAATCTTGCAAGATAGAACAAGCTGCTAAATCTCCTTTGTAGTGGGTAAACTACCACCAGTTTTCACTTACTAAATCTCAGGCTAAACATGTAAGAATCCAGAGTTAAGGGACTGAACATTAAAAGTACGATTGGTCTATTTTTTTTAGAGTTTCAGCCAGTTGTTAATTCTCTTGTTCCTATTATTTCTCACTTGCCTAGAGAAAGCAAGACACGGTATATATCGCAAGCATTAAATGCCAGGTCAGTTAATAATAAGGCTCCCTTTATTTACGGTCTCATTGGAGGAGAGCAGGCTGACCGATATTCATCATCAAAACCTGGCTGACTCCAGAAGGGAGAGTTCCCCTCTTAAACTTATGTCCAGCTGGATTTAGGGCTTTGCACACTAGTCAAGACCCAGGGTAGACAAGGTGGAGCAACAATAGTCATGCGAGAATCTCTTTTGGCTTTTAGGTGCCCTGCTCCACAAATTTCCATTTGTAAAACCCTCTCTTGAAACTGGGCTCATGGGATGGGATCATGGGATTGTTGCTACTATACCAATTTCCCTGCTGTGTAACCACCTCCCTGCCTGTGCTGTTGCAGGCCATCACAATGCATGATATTGTGCGGGTTCAGCTCCTTTCTCCAAGGTTGATCTCAATATTGCTAGGGAGTGAGAAGTCCAACTAACATCTGTTCCTTTGTGGAGTTGCTCAGGGCTTGATACTCTGTTGTACACCAGTTGTGCCCTTTCCTGGATTATGAAGCCCTGCACTCAGCCTTGGACTACTGCAATGTGCTCTACATGGGGCTACCATTGAAGAATATTTGGAAGCTTCAGCTGGCACAAAATGCAGCGGCACAGTTTTAGGAGCTCCTACAGTGCTCATGTTGCACAAGCTGCATTGGTTGCCGGTTTGCTTCCAAATTTATTTATGTATTTATTTAAGAAATGTACTTGGCATCTGTTCCTGTCTGCCTCTTACCTTTATCCCCCCTCCACCCTCCAGATTATTCCTTTAAATGGGAGATGTTATGTCATTAATGTTTTCAACATTGTGCATCTGGTAGATCTCATTAGTGAGATACAGTTCACTTTTCACTTTACCCATTGCTGCAGAAACAACTTGACCAAATACAGATAGTTCTCACTTAACCAATTGCTTGTTTAATGGCTGTTCAAAATTATAGTTGTGCTGAAAAAGGAGAGTTATAACTGGTCCTCAAAACTCTGGCTGTCACAACATCGTTACAATTATGTAATTGCAACCTGGGTTCATGGCAACTTTATAATGGTCACTGCATCCCACAGTCATGTGATTGCAATTTGTGACCTTTACAGTTGTCTTCTGACAAGCAGTCAGTATGGAAGCTGGCAAGAAGTTGCAAGTTGTAGCCACATGTCATTGCATTTAACAACTATGAATGTTTTACTAACAATTTCAGCTGGAATTGCCATCGTACGTTGGGCACAATCATATTACTTTTATTTTTATCTATTAATTACAGTTACGTGGCTGCCCACCTCACAAGAAGCAACTCGATTTTTCACTTTGTGATTGTATCTCTTAGTGGCAGAATTGCTCATGTCCTTTTTGATCTGTAAGTGAGCATTACCTATAAATTTGGTATCATAAATAGATAATAAAAAAATAGTACCTTAAATATTTCAACTAACTCATTAAAACTCTGAACTTCTGCATATTGAATAGAATGAGTAAAGAGTACAGTCACTTTTTTTAAAAAAACTTATAATACTAAGATCTTTAAATTTAGATTTGAAATATGGGAATAATCAGCTCTTACCCTTGCATGTGGAAATAAACAGAACTATACAAAAAAGATGTGAGCATAATTGATCTGGAGGATGGTCTATCTGGTAGTGAATTCTTTGGTGTCCCAGAATTCCAGACTCCAGAATTTTAAAAAGCAAAGATGTACATTCCCATCTATGAATATAATTAACATGTTCTCTGCTTCTACATAATATGCTGAATCCTGAAACATAATTTTGGTTTGCTAGGGGTTACTTCTGCTTCCCATAATAATTTGGTACTCTGATATTTAGAATAATGATGGATTTATCACCTATGCATTTATTGGATCCTGACGTATCGAATGCATCATATGTACTATGTATCCTGCAACATTAGTAATGGACAGGAGAAAACATGCTCCTTTGGTTGAAGAAAGGTAGGTATGCAAGATAGGCATGGGACTGTTTTTCCTTTTTTGATGTCAAGTAATGAAATTGTTAAAGAAAATGATTCTGGTACTAAAGTTTCTTCTATTATAGATTTATTACAGTATATTTTAGAAGCAAATTAGCTGTATTTTGAATTATTTCTAAACTATTGAGTAATTATTTCTAAACTACTAAGTAAGTTATTTGTAGTTAAAAATACTTCGTATTTAGGTGAATCGCTTGTTTGCTTTTAACCTGAAAATATTTTTTCATCTCTTTTCAGTATTTGATCAATAAAATGTAAATTAACATGACTGATCTAAGTTTACAATTTAAACATTTTGTCTTTGTATATCTGTCTTGGGTTATATAAAAATATTAATAAAGTTTACATTTAAACTTTTCTTTTAAATTCTAAAGGTACTTAAAATTTCATTTGATTTCAGCTAATAGAATATGGTGTATGAGCTGTTATGTAGTAATTAATTTCCTGTTAATATTAGTTAATGTTGCTCTTCCTGCCTTGCCTTGCCTACTCTACAAGGTTCCATCCCAAAAAGGTGCCGGAACTCTGTTCTGGGTGTTCTATAACAAAAAAAGCCCTAGGAATCAAAACTGACTCAAAGGCATAAAAAAAAATTAAATGTTATTTAACTATCCAAAATATTAGCTTGAGGACTCCAGTATTTTAAATGGGCTAAATAATTTACATTGTTATCCACTTTCCTGTGGAAAGATATTGACCTCTGGTGGCCAGATGTTACAATTATCACTCAGAAGTGTTTAAAGCAGGCCAGACAAACTTCTCAGGCGCTGGAGTCTATTCATAACACTGAGTGAGCATCCAAAGACTACACAGAACAGAAAGATGATGCAGAATGAGTGAAGACATGATGGAGATTGGTACTTGCAATAGTTCAAGGTTTTGTCCAGCTTATTTAAGTAATTGGTAACCGGTAGGAGCCCTAAAGACTGAACCATTCAGTCTCACACTAATGTTGCATGTAAAGAAAGGGTTTAAACACTATTTATGTCACAATGGAATTTGTGTGTATCTATCTGCATCCTTCCCTGCCTACCTTCTCACCTTTATGGGTGATGCGTGTCTTCCTCAAGCTCAGGTCCTCTACCAGAGGCATGAAAGTTTGACAGTTGGGTGCAGTATTTTAGCTGTTCTTAGCACTGCACTCTTCTGAACGAAGAGCTCTGGTGTTATTCCTGGGATCTGTTGAAGCCACTTTCCCAGCTTAGGAGGTGCCTTGAGTACTCCCACCACTACTAAGACTATTTTGGCCTCTACTTTCCACATCCTTTTTAGTTCCTCCTTCAGGCTCAGGTACTTCTCCAGCTCCTCATAATCCTTCCTGATGTTGCTATCACTTGGAATTATTGCATCTATCCCCACTGTTGTCTTTTGGTCCTTGTCTAATACTACAGTGTCTGGTTGGTTTACCAGTACCTTCCTATCCATATGGGTTTGGAAGTCCCACAGACTCTCAGCCCGGTTATTCTCCAAGACCTTCTGTGGAATCTCCCAACTGGACTTGAGAGGGTCTAGCTCATATTCTGTGCAGATGTTCCTGTACACAATGCCCACCAGCTGGTTATGCCATTCAGTGTATGTGTACACACATACATAGCTTTAATATTTTAACAAATTTGGATTGCCCCATCAGTTTCCTCTTCCTGAAATGGAGGACAGCATTGCCATGGCCTGAGGCAACAGAATATTGTGATGTTTTCATCTCTTGTGTTCTGCTATGAAACATTATTTTTCTGCTTGCTCACCTGCTGACACTTAAAAAGAAAGTGTGTTTAAATGAGAATGAAAGAAGATGGTCTCTCATTTCAGCCAGCTGGTGTGGAAAAGGATGTACCAGCTCTGCAAAATCATTTAAAAATGTGCTTTGAGGTTTCCTTCTATGCTTTTTACGAACTTCTAATTAGATGTGATTTTGGTTTTTCCTGATTTTACAGTACAGTTCCTAACTCTCCTAAACATTTGTTGTGCTGTATGGAGCTAATGCAGTCAGACAAAACATCTGAAGATGATCAGGTTGGGGAAGATTTGAATCATCAAGGGGCTGGACTAGAAGACCTCTAAGATCTTGCTCAACCCTATGACTCTATGAAGTAGAGAGAAGTCCAGTGCTTAGCCCAAAAATGTGTTTTCAAGACACAAAATATTGCTATTTAATTTCCATGCAATGCTTGAAAAAAATGATAATGTATTCCCTCCATTAATAATTGATATTGGTCAACCTCCACCAATTGATTTTATTATTAGGTAAGTGTGCCATCTTCAAACTAGTTCTTTATTTCAAATAGTTCTTTGATATTCTTTATTTCAAATAAGGAACTTGTTCCCTATTGGATGTAATACAACTAGTACTATCCTTCACCATTGGCCATGTTGATTAGTATTACTATATTGTATAAATAAATATCATTGAGGACACTGGGATTTATTATGAAATATGCATCAAATTGCAACCTGAGTCTGATGCAATTCAAGTTCTTGAAATTAAGAGTAATGAAGCCTATCCTTATGGAACTAATTATTCAAATTTGTTTCTCAGTATGCAGAAATGTTTTAAAGATACATTTTAAAATGTGTATGTTCAATATATCTCCCAAAAACACCTATATTGTTGTCAAAATAAAAAAAACACAAAATACAAGTATAAAACACATAGAAGTATAACTATCTGTCAAAGCTCAGGTTCATATGTTAACCGTATTCTTAATTTTTTTCTTAGTTTTATTTCATCACAACCTGCTTCAACTTCTTTATCAATCCATTCAAATATAAGCAGCCATGTGCTGGCAGGTGTTGTATAAGGTTACTACTTAAAATGATAGTGATCTGCAACAAAGGATTAGTGTGCTAATGCTGGTTGCAAAGCTTGGTGGACAATAGTCTTGAGATACAGCAGGCATGGCTTTCCTTTATTTTGCAGCTTACATTCTATGTCACAGAAAGGGACACAATCTTAGCATGGTACCCCTGAAACCAGCATGCCTTGCAGACTCTTCAGTAGCTTAATGAGATGTTAATGCCATGAAGTCTGCAAGTTTTTAAAGCAATGAATTACTGAAGATGCTGGTCTCACTACATCTCCTGAATCCATTAGAATAGACACTTGTGGAGAATAATCCAGAGGCAACATTGAAAAATCAAGGCAACCAAAGACTTTAGGGGTAGAAGGTATGCAGGAGAGACTCATGGCTAGTTCCATATACTGGAGCATATGCTTTCTGAATATTTCAGTTGCTTATCTAAAGTGGAAAAAATGGATTTATCCAAAAAGGCATGGAAGCATGGTATTTGAAGGACATATTTTTTTGGTCACATCTACCTGACTCACCAGAGTGGGGAGATGGGGAATGCTACAGACCCCCTCTCTGTGGAAGTCTATCTAGCGGGACCAAGGAGAGCTTTCTCCGTGGTGGCGCTCTCCCTGTGGAACATCATTCCCACTGAGATAGGATTGACTGTCATTTTGACAAGTTTTTGCAAGGCCCTGAAAACCGGGTTTTGCCAACAGACCCAGAGTGAGATTTTATTGCTGTTGCGAAGCTGTTTTATTGTTGTTATATTGGATTTTTTTCTTCATAAACCACCCATAGTCACTGAGAACGATATAACTTTTCTTAAACATAATCTTGCCTTTTTTTTTTAGCTACATTGCTCTTTGTTTATGAGTTCAAACAATTCCTTTACGCACTATAAGTCAAATCTTTCCCATTCACTTTTGAAATTTGCCTGGGCTGTTGCTTCCCTTGTATGATTTCCTAAATTTATATTTTAAATTACTAATAACATATAAACCATAACTTTTAATTATTCATGTAGATGATCCTATCTAGTCAACAATTGCATAACTTGAAGTGAATTGGCAGTCCTTGGCCATTAGTCTCAGATGTCTTAGGTTAGTGGCAGTATTAATAGTGGTAGAGCTCACAGAATTCCACATTTTTCAGCATGCAGTAATGTTTATATTCTCTACTGTAGCCATCTTGTCATTATTTTTAAAAGTTGTATTTAATAAAAATATAAAATAGAACAGGGCTTTTCAACCAGTGGTACGGGTACCACCTGTGGTACATTGACACCTGGCAGGTGGTACACAACCATCCTAGAAAAGTAGCAGGGAGGGAAATGAGCTGAACCGGTGGCAGCACCGCACAAGCCTGAGTGAGAGATGGCTGGAGCTGCAGGGCTGTCAGGGCTGAGTGGAAGCACCAGGATCAGTGCCAGGCTCCAGCTGGAGCTTGGTGCTGATCCTGGCGCTTCTGCTGAGTCCAGAAGAAGCGCCAATCAGCTGGAATGTTGCAGCCTCTCCAGGGTCTTGTGATTTACATTCAGATGCTTGGCAACTGATTCATATTTATGACCGTCACAGTGTCCCAAGGTCATGTGAAATGACCAAACCTGCTGTAACCACCCAGCAGACAGGAATAAAACACCCCCCACCCTACCCCCCCACCAATCCTCAACAGAAATGCTCACAACAATGAAAACCTCGGACAGGAGGAAGAGCGCCGCTGGGTGGGCAGACAGGTGTCTTGCTCAGCTGTGCCTAGGGGGGCACTTTTTTCAGTGCCATTGTAACTTCGAACAGTCACTAAGTGAACTGTTGTAAGTCGAGGACTGCCTGTACTTTATCACTTTTTTCCTCTTTTTTTGGGGGGTCATCAAGTTTTTGACACCTTGCTAGGTGACTGGTGGTACTCGGATATTGCCATATCCTAAAAGTGGTACAATGGGTGAAAAGGTTGAAAAGCCCTGAAATAGAACACTGGCATACAGCAAAGCAAAACCCTAATTCATTGCCTTTTTTATTTCAGAAATGCTTCTTGATCTTCTTATTCAACAGAATTGGGCAAAGCTTCAGATTTCATTCCAAATGATTGTAGACAGGAATGTCAATGTAATCAATACCTACAACTCCTTAAGCAGCAGAATCTTTTCCCAACATTGCATGACAATTAAAGAGGGAAAACTGTGTGATCTTAAAAGTTTGGCTAAGTACAATTGGAGCTTCATATGCTGTAAAATATCTTTCTGAAATTTAATATGAAGGATATACAGGGGCATCCTTAGAAAATAAAAATAGTGGTTCCTGAAGTTCTGTATCTTGCGCAGGTAGTCTTCAACTTATGACTGTAATTGAGGGTGGAATGATGGTTATAAATCATTTAGTTGTTAAGCAGATCACCTGATTTTATTACCTGATTTATGATGCTCATTAAATTAATCCATTTTATTCCATAGAGTGCTTTTTGCTGGATACTGTAAGTAAATGCCAGACACCACTAAAAGAAACATTGAAAATTTTGGTCACATGTCCGTAAGATGCTTCAACTAGCTATAAAGATGAGCTAGTTGCCAAGCACCCAAAAATGCAATCACTTGACCTCATATGTGTGTGCAGCCTAATTCAAAGTCCTACTAAC